TATTTAATTTATATTCTTTTGCTCAATAAACCCAGGTTCGAGTCAAGTCATAGCTCAATACTACCAACTTATCCGATTGGGCCACGAGGTGAGACGGTCCTCCATTATTTTATATATGGTATTATTATCATGCTAGCTTGTTGTTAGAAATTAATTAATAATGAAATTGTATCAAACAGGGTTATAGAAATGTGATGGAGAATTGTAGAGAGAATATGATCGTGTTAAGGGAAGGACTTGAGAAGACAGGAAGGTTCAACATCGTATCAAAAGATGAGGGAGTGCCACTTGTTGCTTTCTCCTTGAAAGATAGCAGCTCTCACACCGAGTTTGAGATCTCCGACATGCTTCGCAGGTAAAGATTTCAGATACTCTTTGTTATTTAGAAGCTTTCATTGTGTTAATGATGCATGCATTTGAGAGTAAATAAGTAGCTACACCTTATTGATAGATATTTAAAAGATTATATATATTTATGATAAAGATGTAGCTAATACAAATAGTTTATAATGTAGGTACGGATGGATAGTGCCAGCATATACAATGCCTCCAAACGCACAACACATAACTGTTCTTCGAGTAGTCATCAGAGAAGATTTCTCAAGGACACTCGCTGAGAGACTTGTGATCGATATTGAGAAAGTGATGCATGAGCTCGATGAGCTTCCTTCGCGAATTATCCACAAAATTTCGCTAGGAGAGGAGAAGAGTGAAGCTAACGGTGATAACTTGATGGTGACGGTGAAGAAAAGCGATATGGAGAAGCAGAGAGAGGTCATCAATGGCTGGAAGAAGTTTGTTTCCGACAGGAAGAAAACAAACGGTATCTGTTAATATGAATATCTATAAACATCCTTGGACTGCTTTATTTAATAATGTATTTGCATTGATTCGGAGATTGAACGTTATTTTTTATGGTTGTTGTTGGACAAAGTTTGATTTAATGAGTTTGTAATATCTTATGATATTATTGCATTGTAATGAAAAAGTTTGTGTTTTTGTTACTTGTTCATCAACCATTGCATGTAAGGTTATTAAACCTACTAACTTAATTGATCTTATTATATCCCGTAAGTTCGTAAGCTAACATAAGAAAATTGGGTAATAACTTTTTATCATGATAAAGATATAGTACCATTTAATTTAAATCTAAAAAAATAACACTAAATTTTTTTTAATTTATAGAAGAAAATAAAGAAGAAAATAAATCAAAGTGAAGTTAAAATCCAAACACGTCTTCTCAAAACAAAGACAAAATTTTAAAACAAGAAAAAAAAAACTAAAATTCCCTAGGAATCAACACATGAATAATTCTGATAAAGAGCTAAAATTCCTGAGCCGGTGAAGGCCGGTGAAGGAGCATGTAAAGGAGCCGATGACGGAGCCTGTGAAGGAGCATGTAAAGGAGACGTGAAGGAGCCTGTGAAGAAGCATGTAAAGGAGATGATGACGGAGACTGTGAAGCAGCATGTAGAGGAGCTTGTGAAGGAACAAGTGAAGTAGATCCAACGACAGTGGAGCAGTGTAGCTTGACATAGCCAGCCAAGATGGGGTTACGGAAAGATCCAAAAATGATTTAGTTTTCCAAAAATATTTTATATATGAAATGAAACAAGACCATTAAACATACGGAAGAATTTGTTAGAATTCAACTTTAAAGAGAAAAAAGATCCGAAAATTAACATGAAGCGAGGAAAGGGTGAATATTTCTTGTTATCCAATAGAAAGTTAAACCTTCCCTGTACAAAACAGTTTTCCTAAAAATCACCAATACCTTTTCTTTAAGACGTTTTAAATCATTCTCCAAACTTTTAATCTCAAACTCAAGTTTTTCCTGAATCATATACATGATGAATAAATAATCAATTCCAACAAATGAAGGAAAAGTTATGTTTTCCAATAGAGTTCACCAGAGTCCATACCTTGTATAAAATTGAATCTTACACAACTAAAAAATATGTACCTTGTCAAACTTTCGTTGGGGCTCTTCAAAACCCTTAGACGAATCTTGCACATCGTTTTCATACAGTTCATGAGTCCGAGGTTTCAAACTACCTCTATTTTTCTAGCTAACATTCTTGCACATTGTTTTCATACAGTTCATGAGTCCGAGGTTTCAAACTACCTCCATTTTTCAAGCTAACATTCTTGAATGTATGACATATATAGTCTCCCTACAAGTGATATAAAATGATGGTTCACCTTCTTTTTAATGTTATTAAAATACTAGCGAAAAAGAAGTTGATCTCACAATGAAAATAACAATAATGATCCAAAACCAATGTTAATAGAACCTTATCTGTATCAAACTGCAAAATGTGCTGAACACCGTCAACTATTATTTCGAGTTTTACATAACTCTTAGTACTGCTCATGCTTATTATGTTATGTCGTTCAGCATGGTAAACATAACCAAAAGGCCACATTCGGTAAAATATAACCTACAAAAAAAGTTAAAAACAAATTCAAATATCAGAAATACATATGAATTCCAAACAAAATTACTCTTACGCTGTCTTCTTTTATTCCCATGAAAATATCTCCAGTTGGAAAGAAGACAAGTGACTGATCACTTTGGTTGTTTTCTAATAGAAAAATCTTTGATGATTCCCCTAATTCTTTGGCCATACGCAGGTTGTGGTGGATATAGGCAGAGCTCGATGAAGAATTTTTGCCATCCATTTTCCTCAAGAAGTTTTTCAACAATAGATTTAGACTTTAAATACTGGTTAGTCATAAAGAATATTCTGTAGTGATATTAAATTCTAATAACGATATTTGTGGCGTTGTTTATGGTAACAACTACTATATTTTTTTTCAAATTTACAGTGATCTCCAACGTTAATTATATTTATTTCTAACTAGGGGAAGGGATATGATCATTGCGGATTGTATAATACTACTTTTCTCTGAAATTAATATTTTGTCATTTGAGATAAATAAATTTGATTATTTACTTGTATTTAATTGGTTTTTAAATGTTTGACTTTGACTATTAAGGATGAATATATATTGTTAATTGTGAGAAACTTCTTCAGTTTTTCCCGAGGGACTTCTGCTTCCAGATGAATGACTGCTTTATTTGATAATGAATATAAAAATGTTTGGACTGCTTTATCTGATAATGAGTTTGCAGTATTAGCTTGTAATATCTTACTAGATCATAACCCGCCCGACTGGACGGGACTTTGTTTTTATGGTATAGATAACATTTCAAAATTACAATTTAATGGTTCTAATTTTACTAAGTAATAGTATATTGTTTAAACATTGTATTTCATTATTGTATTGTGTAACAGGGACGTCATAAAATGTTGTGACCCGTAAATATTTTAGTAATAGTTTATAAAGTTTTTGACTAAATTTGGTATAAAGTTATATACACTAAATAATGTAGTCAAATTTTTAATTTAATTTTTAATGAATAATTGGAAGGCTAGTATATCACTGTTAAAAACTTATAAGAATAGTCAATATAAATTATATAAATAAAATATATATTATTTTGATTTATTCTAAATACATTTAAAACATGAATACATATATGTATAAATAATTTGTAGAAATAAAGTAATATCAATGATAGAAAATCCAAAAACAATAATAATGGTACCTTGGGCCGCAGTAATCTTTAGTATAATAAATAAGCCCATTAAATTTGTATGCTATCCATGTTTCCAATCAAATTTTTAAAATTTTCTTATTCATATTTCCAAACACTTTATTTTTGTACTTCAGCTTTAATAGTATAGATGATATCTATACTATTATTTGCGAAGTGATTTTTCGCGACGGAGCTCCCACGTTAAAAGTTAGACTGGTTAATATCGTTTATACCCTTAATGAATAATTACAAAAATTTCAATATATAATTATTTATAAATAAAAACGAATTTAGATGATTTAAGATTTATCCTTATCTAAAAATATTTTATAATGTTTTAAAAAGTCTTTATTAACTTTAAAAAATCATTATATTTATTAATATATAATTAATTATTAATTAAAAACGAATTTCATTAATTTGATAATTATTCTTATCTATATTTATATTATGTTACAAAGTTGCTATCAATCTTGAAAATAATTTTATTTGATAATTATACATAAAAATAATTTATTATCCATAATCTAAATATATATTTAAAAATAAAATAATAATTCTTATATATATTTTGTTGTTATCCGGAAAATATATTTTAATAAAAAATCAAAAACAGAAAACACATAAAGTAAATATTTATAAATAAAAAATTTATAATACGTAATTATTTTCAAATTAAAAGGATATAATAATATAATATAACGATATATATTTGTGTTATTCTTTCATCTCTGAACTCACACGTTAAATTAAATTTATTTTTATATTTTATTTAGTTATACATTAAACATGAATCAATCATAATAAAATAAAAGATCATTCACAAAGAAAGAAAATATGTTTTTGGCAAAAATAAATTTAAATATATTGTATTTTAATCCAAAATAATATTATTCTTTCTGTAAATCAATTTTTATCAAATTGAAAGATAGGTTTCTATTTTTTTTTATCAATTAAGAAGAAATGAAATAGACTTTAGCTTTTTTTCAAATCTTTAAAGGAAAAGATAGATTTTTGTTTAAATTTATAACTAACTTTATCATGTAAAACTAAAAAGGTTTAATGTTTTAGGTAAAAAATTTTGAATGAAAATAATTATTTATTTTGATTATTTTTTAAATTGACTTAAAGATAATTAAGCCCGCATGTGCGGGTAAAACACCTAGTTATTACATTATTATGAAACAGTTTGTGTTTTTTTTTGGGTGAAAAAACACTAAATTGCATGTAAGGTTAATAAACCTAGTAACTTAATTTATCTTTTTATCCCGTAAGCTCGTAAGATAACATTAGAATCTTGGGTAATAAATTTTCATTATGATTAAGATAACTAAATAAGTAAACACTAAATTTAATTTGTAGGAGAAAAATAAGAAGATAAAAAATTAAATTGAAGTTAAAATCCAAACACGTCTTCTAAAAATAAAGACTAAATTTAAAAACAAAATGAAAAAAACTAAAACTTCCTAGGAGACCTACTTGAATAATTGAATAACTAAAATCTCTGAGTCGGTGAAGGAGCCGGGGAAGGAATCGGTGAAGGAGCCTGTGAAGGAGCATGTGAAGGAGCATGTAAAGGAGCATGTGAAGGAGCATGTGAAGAAACAGGTGAAGAAACAGGTGAAGAAACATGTAAAGGAGCTTGTGAAGGAGCATGTGAAGGAGCATGTAGAGGAGCATGTAGAGGAGCTTGTGAAGGACCAAGTGAAGGAGCCTGTGAAGTAGATCCAACGACAGTGGAGCAGTGTAGCTTGACATAGCCGGTCAAGATGGGGCTACGGAAAGATCCAAATACAGTCTTCTCACAATCTGCGTTCATCTTCTTGATTGCGTCGCAACATTCCGATCCAATAACGATTTCTCTGGTGAAGAAAGTCATAGAGATATCATCAAAACATGTACCTACCTCCTCCTTGTCGGACAAGCATCTGATTACTTCCTCTGGCAGATAAAACGGAATTGGTCGAAAGTAGCCTTCACGGATCGGCGGGAATCTTTTTACGGGGCCACGGAACGGGCCGAACGGCCAATGTACACGCGATAGGAAGAGCTCTTGGTTAGTAGATGACTCTAGTTCTGTTTCTGTGAGTTTGGATGTTACACAGCTTGAGAACAGGATCGCTATCATAGCAATAACAAGTGTGACGTTCTTCATCTTTTAAGTGTAAACCTAGGACTTTCGGATGGTGATGCAATGGTAAAGCGTGAGGGTTTATATGGATGTTTTTGCAGGGATTTGTGAAATATTATGTGAATTTGTCTTTCTTCCTACATTAACGTGAGTATATATATACAACATATAAAATCCTAAGTTAGCTAGATAAATGCACATTAGATAATATCAAATCATATTAGGAATAGGAAACTCTCATGATCGTATTTATCTCTTTATTTTGAATTTTCCTTTTATGCCAGGCAGGGTTTAAATAGTTTCGAATTATTATGTATATAAATAGAATATACATCTTTGTGGTGTGATGATGTTATAGTAATGATTATTGGACTACGTACAACACCACACATAAGCCATGTTGTTAAGGTTATACAAAAAAAAAAAAACAAAAAATTTATTAGATAATCATATGGACTGGTATATATTAAAATTATCACTATCTTAAGAAATAACATACTGTATATGTTATATATATGATGTCACCGCTATTTTCTTTTAATTAAGAGGTTTTAGTATATATAAATAAGTTTGTAAGGATTTCGATATATATAAGAAATATCTTAATTATTCGATAAATCATAAAAAATGGAATTCTAACTATAATAATCAGTTTGTAAGGATTTCGATAAGTATAAGGAATATTTTAATATGACTTTCGGTAATTGTTGGACTCCGTCCAAACGTCGAAGGGTAATATCACTAATAGTTTTTTCTAGGGCTGGGAAAAAAACACCGAACCCGAAAATCCGAACCGAATCCGACCCGATAAAAAGGAATCCGAACGGATCCGAACCCGACATAAGTACCAAATTGATCTTGTTTTACGGTATTTCGAATTATGGGTATTATCCGAACCGAACTCGAACTTAAATGGATATCCGAAAAAACCCGAAACTTTAAAATTCCAAAAAAACTTGTATCATATCCAATCTAAATTTCTAATATGTTTCCAAAACAGAA